TCTTTCTTTATTATTATTATTATTATTATTATTATTATTATTATTGTTATTGTTATTGTTATTGTCATTGTTGTTATTATTGTTATTACTATTATTAGTGTTGTTGTTCTTATTATTATTGTTATTGTACTATTGTCATTTATAATTTGTACAATTAACCTCCCTGTGGTTCGACCCCGGTCTTGTCAGGTTATTTATTACTTCGACACTCCTGCACTTGGGAGAAGACATCAATCTTTTAGTCGTGTCAATTTACAAGTATTAGCATTAATTGAATAAGATGACTAATGTAATCATGTTAACAATATATAATCTGATTGGAACCTCCTTTGTGTGTGGTTTCCAATTGACTAATAAGAGTTTATACTATACTTGTTTGACATACCATTAGTGGATCCTCTAACCTTGACATTTATCGTTATCGTTGTTAAATCTTTACGTTAATATTCCATCTCAAAGTTCTCATCTTCTTCTTCTTCTTCTTCTTTTTCTTTATTATTATTATTATTATTATTATTATTATTAGTATTAGTATTACTATTATTATTATTATTATTATTATTATTATTATTATTATTATTATTATTGCTGTTATTACTATTATTATTATTCTTGTTGTTATTATTATTATTGTTGTATTATTGTTATTTATAATTTGTACAATTAACCTCCTTGTGGTTCGATCCCGGTCTTGCCGGGTTATTTATTACTTCGACACTCCTGCACTTGGGAGAAGACATCAATCTTTTAGTCGTGTCAGATAGAAAGGTTATTTTGAACATAACTTCTAAAAAACCAATAAGCCTCAATAATATGTTTCATGTTGCTGACATTATAATGAATTTAATGCCTGGATTGTTGTTAACCAAAAATAGTTCTAAATTAGTTTTTAAGAGTGAAAAATCTATATTCTCTAAAGATAAAGTGTTAATAAAAGAGGGGTATCTTAATGATAACCTCTTCAAAATGAATTTAATGATTATTGTAACCATGAATAATAATAATAATAATAATACATATTCTTCTTATTTGCTTGAGTCTTGTGATATGTGGCATGATAAGCTATGCCATGTGAATTACAACCTATATAAATGTTAATAAATCTTGATTTATTACCTTGTATGACTTTTTAGAAAAACATAAGTGTGAGGTTTGTGTAAAATCAAAATCCATAAAAATTGTTTTTCACTCAATTAAAAGAAGTGGTGAAACCTCCAAGTTTAATTCACTCAGATAGTAGTGATTTAAATTTTATGCAAAATAAAGATGAGAAATAATATTATATTACTTTTATAGATAATTACATGAGGTATTGTTATACATGTTTGGTTATAAACAAAGATGAGGCTCTTGAAATATTTAAACATTACAAGAATGAAGTTAAAAATCAACTTGATAAGAAAATAAAGCTAATAAAAAATTATAGAGATGGAAAATTATGTTTCTAAAATGATATTATCCACCAAACTACCGCTTCTTATTCACCTAAACAAAATAACATTGCAAAATGTAAGAATCACACTTTAAAAGAAATGATGAATGTCATATTAATAAGTTTGAGAGCACCTCATAATTTGTTGGAGGTAGTTTTAACTAGCAATTATATAATTAATAAAGTACCCCATAAAAAAGTTAGAAAAGATACCATATGAATTTAAAAAGGTAGACAATCTTCTTATAAATATCTCAAGGTGTAAGAGTGTCTTACAAAGATAGTGGTACCTAATTCTAAAAAGGTCAAGATAAAACCTAAAAATATGAATTATATATTTATCAAATAAGCTTACAATAACAGTGCATATCAATTTCTTGTAATCAATTCAAGTATTGAAGATATTCATCATAATACTATCATGAAATCAAGAAATATTGTATTATTCAAAGAAGTGTTTCCAGGGAAGGAAACACAAGAAAATTGTTCACTTAAAAGAACAATTGGAGTTAGCTTAAGTAGTCATCATCTATTAGAAGATGATTAAAGTTGAGTTGATAAAGAATGAAAAGGGAAAAAAACCAAAATATTTGGTTATGATTTTCTAACATACTTGTTAGAAAATAAACCTTAGATATATTCCAAGGCAATGTCATGTCTTGAAGGTTCTTATTACAAGGCATTCAATGATGAAATAAAATAAATTATAAATAAACATACATGAGAACTGGTAGATCTTTATCTCAGTAAACCATTAGCCATAAATGGATCTTCAAAAGGAATATGAAAGTTGATGGTAATATTGACAAATAAAGTTAGACTTGTTGGGAAAAAATTAAATGATAAGAAGGTGTAGATTATTTTGATATATATTCATTTGTATCAAGAATAACTTTCATATGAATATTACTACCTTTATTTTGATATATATTCATTTGTATCAAAAATAACTTTCATATGAATATTACTACTTGTCATAGCTAGTAAAAAGCTTGAAATTCATTAAATGGGTGAAAAACAAGAATAACTTTCATATCAATATTATTATCTATCATAACTACTAAAAAGCTTGAAATTTATTAAATTGATGAAAAACACCTTTTTTAAATGATGACTCAGAAGAAGAGGTTTATATGGAACAACTCTAAGGGTTTGTTGTTAATAAACAGGAAAATAAAATCTATAAACTTGTCAAATTATTGTATGGTTTCAAGTAAGCTATTAAAAAATGGCATGAAAATCAATGAAGTTGATAAATATATTTATGTGAAATATAAAAATTGAGATTACATTATAATATGTTTCTATATTTATGACATGTTAATTCTGGATAGCAATGATCACGTGATCACATCTACTAAAAAAATATTAACTCGCGTGATGGTATAAAAAACATTCTAAATACTTGTAAATTTTTTTCTTTTTTGACAATTTTTTTTATTTAGGTTGCAGTGTAGTAGGACCATAACCATTAACCAAAAACAATTCCAAACGATGAGAGAATTTGAAATTAATTGTATTTGTATGTAAAATAGGATTGACACTTTAATAAATAAAAATATAAAAATAATATAATGATTTGAAGTAACATGAGGATTTATACATAATGTTTTGATTAAATCTCATTTAAATAAAATATACGAGGATAATAAATTAAAGGGGATATTACCTTTAATATCCTATAATTTAATTCAAATTACACTTGCTTAAAAAGTTTTAAAAAATTATAATTTACAATGTAAAATAAAAATAAATTTTAAATAAAATAAAATAATCACGATATCTTTGTATATATTTTAATAATTAGAAACATTAAATGTCAAACTAGTTTGTCCTTTCTCTCTTTGATTCTATCTCTCTTTCTTCGACAGATAGTGAAGAACTTCTAATTTTCCTATATCAAACAATAAAATTACTATTAAAATTGATTTATGTTTCAACGTGATTGTTTTGCTCTCTCTCTTTCTCTCGTCAACCTGCTACTGAGACAAGGGGTGTCAGGATTCTTAGCAGAGATTAAACAAATGTTACAGATATTCCTTGAAAATTTAGTTAAGTTATATGGTTGTTGTGTAGAAGGAAATCATAGAATTTTAGTTTACAACTAACTACCTGGATAACAATAGCCTTGCACAAACTCTTCTAGGTAATTCTTGAATATCCTTCTTGTGAATATCTAATATCTTTATCAATGTTGTTTTCGGTAGTTTTACCCTTGGGAAAATAATTCTGACTTCTGAAGCTGGATTTTCAAGAATAAACTTGGTATTGGTAAACAGATATGCTTATGAGTATAAATTCCTATGATTTATAGAAAGCTTAATTTTATTCCCTGAATCAAATGGTATTTGAGGGCTCAAGTATCTATTGATTTTCAGGTTGGTTTGAATTATAAGGGAGCCCTATTTTAGTCTCTCTCTCTCTCTTTTTGCCAAATTATGCATCTAAACTCTTTCAACGTGTTGAAAGGAAAACAAGTTGCTTGTGCTTTTTTTAGTTTAAAAAGAAAAGGAGAAGAAATCATGTAAAACGACGTCGGTAAAATGTTACACACTCACCAAAGTGAGTTTTGATGCAAATGGTAATTTTTTAAAACTCGGACGACACTATCAGATAGTAGGGTAATTTTTTCTAAAGGATGAGCGGTGGCTAAAACGACGTCGGTTACAGTGTTTGTTATAAAGAGCAGTTCAATTTCTCTTTCCCCCAGAAATCAAAACCCTAAAAGAAAATGGGAGGCAAGTGTCCAAGCAGGAAGGTGAAGAAGAGAAGATACTCTCACAAGACGGCTCGGCGCTCAAAATTTCTACTCAAAGATATCCTTATTATTAATTTGTCTTAACACATATATATATATAGTTGTTCTCTTGAGATTCCTTGACTTGATAATTTTGATTCACGCGACGATGCGGTATATGAGGAGCTGCAGCAAAAGCCTGACGGGGAGATGAAGGAGGCAACGTTGCCTCTTGACGAGGATTTACCTGGCATGGGCCAATATTACTGTCTGCACTGCGAGTATGTAAAAGATTTTTTTTTTTTTTGCTTTTTTACAAATTTGCTGCTCTGCTTTGGTTGCTCACCTTTTCTTTTAAAACTAATTTGGGCAGCCGTTACTTTGCTAATATGAGTGTGAGGGACGAGCACTTCAAGACCAAACGTCACAAGAAGCGGTCAGTTTTCCTCTGATGTCATGTTTATTCCTGGAGATAACCAAGAAGAACCTCAACAGATTTGTCTACTTTAATTGTCTTTGAAATAGTGGATAGGATACAGTCTGATGTAACTTTTGCTGAATGCAGTGTAAAGCAAATGATGGGACCTGCACCGCATACTCAACTTGATGCTGACTTAGCTGCCGGGATGGGTGCCCCAGATAATGGTCTTAAGCTTATGTCTATGTGACCATCTTTTGGTTCCTTGCTGATGCATATGTTTAGATGACAGATGAGTTCAAGCAGGCCTCCATTGGATGGAGGATATTTGTTCTGTAACAATAGTTTTCTAGTGGTAGTTTCATGTATTGCTGCCAAAGTAATGGTAGCTAGCTTTCTTCACGGTCTACTCTGCTTATCATATACATCTGATAGTTTGATAGTTGTGGGAAATAGGGATTTCAACCTTGCATTTGAAGGGAAGATCAAATACCTCTGCCAATTCATGTTATGTGGATTTACATTTGGGTATATTGATTGTTTTGAAGATGTAACATAACTGTTGAAAGACAATGTAAAGTGTTAGCGATTTTGAATTTGCTTTTTTCATTTCACAGGTTCTGAAGGTTCTGAAATTAACGATTATTGAAGTTTCTAATAGTCATGAAATTTATAAGACTCGAAGAAGTGATCTTCATGGAACAAACCTAGTGACACAATATAAAATGTTGATGATTCATGATTTCGTTCACAAAGATGGATTATTGATATCGTTCAACAAGATGATTGTTAAATCTAAAACTCGAGGGGAATTCTTAACTGGATATTTAATCAAAATTCATTATCATTTATATATGGTTACAGCAAACTAAATATAGTAACAAATCATTAAAGCTATTATAAAACTTCAAGATAGCATAGTAATTAGAACGTATGAATAAAAATAGAATGTTTATATTCGACCAATGACTAGATTCACTCCATTAATTGCAATAGATTTTAATGATCAAATTCAAAGTTTCTAAAGACTTCATTAATGATGGTTGGCTTCGGAGTGGACTTAATTTGGTTGTAGTCCCCATCTGCTTGCAGATCTTGATTTAGTTGTCGCTCTTCATTATCCTATAGTTCCCTATCATTCTCCTCCACTTGAAAAAAACTCGCCCCTGAATGATTATACAACTTGCCTTCGGGATTATAAATAGAGATACCTACTACATTAAAGGTTTTGGATATGTTCATATTATCGAAATCTATCAAATAAGCGTTGGCATTGATTCTTTTCAAAACTTTGAGAGGTCTGTAACGTTTATGCCTTAACTTGCCATGAACTCTTGCTGGTAATCTTTCTTTCCATAGATAAATCATCACCTGATCTCGAACCTTAAACACTTGATGCTTCTGATGCTTGTCTACAGCTGCTTTGTACTTAAGATTGCTCTACTCCAAAGTCTATTGCTCTTATTGAAACATCTTTAAATAGGAATCTACTATATCAAATGCAGTTGTATTGGTACTGGTAGAAGAAGGAAGTTTAACTAGGTCTACAACATACCTCGAACGTTTAGTATAAACAATAAAGAAAGGACTTCTCTTGGTAGAATGATTAACTGAATTGTTATAAGCAAATTTAGCTTGAGCTAAAGCATAATCCCATTGCCCTTCTTGTTCCCATATATACATCTAATTAAATTTTCCAATGATCAATTTTACCACTTCTATTTGGCCGTCAGTCTAGGGATGTGTTGTGCTAGAAAATTTTAAAGTTGTTCCAAACCTTTACTACAAAGTTAACCAAAAAGCTGCCAAAATTTTGTTATCTCTATCAAAAGTGATAGAGAGGGGAACACCATGCAAGCGAACAATTTCTGTGAAGAACAAGTTAGCAATGTGATGAGCATATGTTGTCTTTCGACATGGAATGAAGTGCGACATCTTAGAAAATCAGTCAACCACCACTAATACTGCATCACTGCCTCTCTGGGTCCTTGGTAAACCAAGCATGAAATCCCTCAAAATGTCATCCTAGGGGGCATTGGGAATCACCAGAGGCATATATAATCCTAAATTCTGCGATTGCCCTTTGAACTTTTGACATACTGGACACCTCTACACAAATTTTCCAGCATCTCTTTTAAGTTAAAGCCAATAATAACGTTCTTCCAAACAGCTGTAGTTTTATCTCTACGTACATGCCCACTCAAATCACTGGAATATAACTCCCTTAGCAATTTGTCACGTAGAAATCTTCTATGAATGCACAACCTGCTTTTTTTGAACAGATATCTTGAACCAAATAGTCATCTAGGGGCTACTTCAAAATGTATTTATTTCAAACACCACCAAAATTTGCTTCATGTTCATACAACTCCTTAAGCTGTTCAAAACCTGGAATCTCATTAGAAAAAGTAATAAGAAGAGTGACACAACAACTTAACGCATCTGCAACTCGGTTGGTAATTCTTGACTTATAAACAATAACATAATTGAATCTTTCAAGATAGGTTGCCGACCTAGATAGCATAAGATCAACATGCTTCTGACCTTGAAAATGTTTGAGAGATTGATGGTCCGAGTAAACAATGAACTCCTTAGGTAATAGATATTTTTCCCATGTTTTTAAAGCACAGAACACTGTATAGAGTTCTTGCTAGTATGTTGAGCAAGTCTATCGAGCTTCACTTAACTTCTCAGTAAAAAATGCAACTGGCTTCCGCTCTTGAGACAGAACAGCTCCTATGCCAATCCCACTTACATCATATTCAATCTTAAAGGTCTTGGCAAAATGAGGCAGAGTTAAAACGGGGGCTGTCGTCAACTTTTCTTTGATCAATCTGAAACTATGATCAGCAGATTCTCCCTACTGGAATTTACCCTTCTTCAGACAATCAGTGTTAGGTGCTATAATGGTGCTAAAATTCCTGATAAACATGCAATAAAAGGTTGTTAGACCATGAAAACTCCTTACATCAGTTATTATTTCTAGTTTTGGCCAATCCTTAATAGCTTTCACCTTTTTTTTATTCACATAGATCCCTTCACTACTTATGATACATCCTAAAAATACTAATCTGCTTGTTAAAAAATTACACTTTTTTAAGTTTACAAACAACTCATTTTGCCTCAACATAACTAGAACTTGCCTAATATGATGAAGATGCTCATTGGCATTTTTACCATATATTAAAATATTATCAAAATAAACAACAACAAAATGTAATATGAATGGTTTGAGTATTTTGGTCATAAGATGCATGAAGGTACTTGGTACATTGGACAACCCAAATGGCATAACTAACCATTCATATAGTCCATCATTTGTCTTAAAAGTTGTCTTCGATTCATCTCCGACACGAATTCCGACTTGATGATAACTACTCCGCAGGTCTATCTTTGAGAAAATTTTAGCACCGCTCAGCTGATTGAACAAATCATCAAGACGAGGGATAAACCGAATTATTTATGTTTTTATTTTGTTTATTTATTTTTCTTTTTTTTATTATGTTTAGCTAAGTTTATTATGTTAAGGTGAAAAGGTTATACTAATGGTCTAAGAATAAGTATAATATAAACTTAATATGGACTTTAATGTTTGACACTAACATGTTTTATATTTGTTATCTTGTTTACTCTTTAATACTTTGCTTGTTAAAGGATTAATCTAGATTTATGTTGTATAACACTTGGTACATCAAATGCTTAGCATTTTCATAGCACAAACTGTATGGTATAACTGATACCTGTGCAATGAAAAGAAACTTGATTTGTTGTTAACATAAATTATAATCATGAATGTCTGATGATATTTACAAGTATTAGCATTAATCGAATAAGATAACTAATGTAATCATGTTAACAATATATAATCTGATTGGAATCTCCTTTGTGTGTGATTTCCAATTGAAGAATAAGAGTTTATACTATACTTGTTTGACATACCATTAGTGGATCCTCTAACCTTAACATTTATTGTTATCATTATTTAATCTTTACGTTAATCTTCCATCTCAAAG